ACGCACGCACGCACGCACGCACGCGGACACCGTCGATTTGACAGAAGCTTGACGCAGCGAGAGCAGCCTGAAGCGAGCAGACTCCGGAGAGTTTTGGGAGGAATTTTTCACAACGCGCCCGTTCGCCGCCACCATCTCGCGGTCGTAACGCGCCGCGCCTCGGACCGGATCTCCAAATTCCCGAGTCGATTCACTTGTCAATCGCGACACGCATTTGTTCATCGGCAAGTTAGTCGATCGCCACTGAGCGGTCGGAGGCGCGGGTTCTCGACCGCCGTCACGTGTTTTCCCACGGTCAAGAAAAGGGAGTGCTCCACGACAACGCGCGGCACCTGAATGTCGTTTGGAGCGCCGAGATCGAATGTCTTCCGGAACAGCCAAACGGCGTGTACCTGCCCGCCAGCCCCCGCACGGGTGCGCTTCCTCCGCTTTTGTTCAACGATTTTTCCATTTCTTTGAAGCGGAGGGACTGGTCACCAGAAGGGAAATGAAATCGAGTCCTTGCAATGTCTCCTATGTCAGCGTTGAAGACGATTTGCAAGAAACCTGTCGCGGACGCACACGATTTTCCCCGTCGGGCCGCGAGTTCGACACCGGCGTTTCAATGCGTTTTCCGCAAAGCCCGACTGACACGCGGCACGCCGCCCGTCTGAGGGTACCGTTTGTCTGTCGGTCTCCGTAGGCGGGCACACGTCCCAGGACGAGAAAATCGCGGCCACCATTTTGATGGTGCAGCTGGACGACTTCCTGAGAGGCGCCGCCGTTCAGTTCACCGAGCACCAGGGGGAAGAGTCGCTCACTTTCCTCGGATACTTCAAAAAGGGACTCAAGTACCAGGTGGCTCACTTGCGCACGCGCGCCTCGCTTGACGTTATGTCACGGCAGCTACGTTGTCACGCCACGTCACATGACCATGTGTCGCCGTCATGTGACGTGGCGACACATGACGTCATGACGTCGCCCGACGTCATGACGCGAGCTCACGCCAGGTGGCGCCGTGTGCGTTTCAGAAAGGGGGCGTGGCCTCCGGCTTCCAAAACGTGGTGTCCAACGAGGTGAACGTCAAGCGTCTGCTGCACGTGAAAGGGCGCCACCGCGTGCGCGCCACCGAGGAGGACCTGACCTGGGCCAGCTTCAACAAGGGCGACTGCTTCATCATCGACTTGGGCAAGGTGAGAGGACGAGGCGCCGTTTTTCGCCGGCTTCTCTCTCCGCCGCCGCTGACGGGCGGCCCGCGTGTGATTGACAGAACATCTACCACTGGTCGGGTAGCGACAGCAACCGCTACGAGCGGTTGAAGACCACGCAGCTCGCCATCGACATCCGAGACAACGAGCGGCGAGGGCGCGCGGAGGTGCACATGATCGACGAGGGAGACGAGCCCGAGGAGGTCATCAAGGTGAGGCGTCGCGTGCCGTCGTTGCGCGGCGTTGCCCCCCGAGACGTTGGACCGCAGAATCCTTGTCGCAACTCGTTCCTCTCGAGTGACTGCGATGGCATCCAACCGGGTTCCGCACTCGCGTTCTCTCACTCGCACTCGGATCCCTCACGCGGGGGCGTGCGAGTCATTCTGGTCACGGGCCACATGGCGGCTTTTGGCTTTCCCTCAGAGGGCCGTCGTGACCCTCAGCCCACGGAAATGTGTCATGGCCTTCCCTCGAGACGTCTAGCGCACGTCGCGCATTGACGGATGAGCTCGTTTTGAAATCGGACGCCGGTCGATACTTGTCGGTTCAACTATTTATTTCTTTATTTTTGTCATGTCTTTTAAAGGGGCCCAAAAAAAACACTTGCGATAGCTCATGTCTCAGCGTTGCTGAAAGTCAAGGCGATTTGCAAGAAATACGAAGCGCACGCCCACGGTTTGCCTTCGCGGGCCACGTGAAATGATGCCTCGGGCCAGATGCGGCCCCCGGGCCGCGGCTTTGCGTCCTTCCCCGCGTGAGAGCCGGAGGTCTCTGTCCAACGCCTCTTCTTTACCCTGTTGGGTTCCGTTGCATTCTGCTGGAGTCGACCGGTGTGGTATGTGGTTTCTCTCAGGTTCTGGGGCCGAAGCCCGACCTGCCTCCGGGAAGTTCCGATGCGCACGCGGTGCAGAAGGACAGAAGTCCGGCGTCGCTCTACATGGTAACGGCGCAACACGACATGAATGGGCGAGGCGCTACAAGAAAAGCAAAGACGCTACGGCGACAGACCGCGGCCTCGCGTGCTAAGCTGTCCGCCGTCGCTAACGCTTTCCCGCGCAGGTGTCCAACGCTACGGGCAAGATGTCGCTGAAGGAGGTGGCCCCGAGGAACCCCTTCAAGCAGGCCATGCTTTCCAGCAGTGAGTGCTACATCCTGGACAACGGCCAAGATCACAAGATCTTCTTCTGGAAAGGTAACTAGACAGCCCAACGTCCAGATGCTGACGTTAGTTACGCCGCGCGGGGAAAAAGCTCTGCGGTTTTCCCCGAAGAGTCTTGGTTCTTGACTTTTTCAGTGGGTGAGCTCATTAGTTAGCGAGTCGCGGTCAAGGTCGCAGTCTTGAATATTCCCAAGCGGATGTCTGACGGCAAACAAGTCGGCACATGAGCTCACGTTAGCGGCTTGCGCGCAGGTCGCGACTCCAACGCGGAAGAGCGCAAAGCCGCGCTGAACTTGGCCACAAAGTTCATCGCGGACAAGAACTACTCGGACAAGTGTCAGGTAAGCGGTCGCCCGCGCGACGTTTCGCCACGGAAGCGCGCGCGCCTCTGATGGCCGAGACGCGCGACCCGCCACAGGTCCAGATTCTGCCGCAAGGGGCCGAGAGCACCCTGTTCAAGGACTTCTTCGAAAACTGGCTGGACAAAGACGAGACCACGGGTGTGAGTCAGGCGTACACCAAGGGCAGCGTCGCCGTCGTGAAACAGATCCCCTTTGATGCCTCCAGTCTCCACGGCAACAACCTCATGGCCGCGCAGCACGCCATGCCGGACGACGGATCGGGGAAAGTGCAGGTACGTCCCGCGCCGCTTGCCTTCGTCTTCCGCTTCCCGCTCCTCGACGCGACTGGTCCGTGCCGCTTCCTGTGGTTCAGGTGTGGCGCGTGGAGGGCGGCGGCCGCGTTCCGGTGGACGCGGCCACCCACGGCCAGTTCTTCGGCGGCGACTGCTACCTGCTGCTGTACTCGTACAAGTTGGACGGCAAAGAGAAGCACATCATCTACATCTGGTCCGGTGGCACGTTAGCATGTTAGCATTGAAGGTCGGCCCTTGACCTTTGTTGACCTTTGTTGACCTTTGCCCCCTTTAGGCAAGGAATCAAGTCCAGTAAAGATGAGCTGGGAGCCTCCGCCATCTTGGCCGTCGCCCTGGACGACTCCATGGGAGGCGTGGCTACGCAGGTCAGACTGACTTTTAGTGGCCAAACGGGCGCTTCCTCGCATCGGGGCCGGCTCATCGAGTGAGGCTACTCGATCGCGTACGGGGGTTTGCGGCCGACCGCGCCTGCCGGTCAATCGGCTCGGCTCGGCATGTTTGCGGAGCGTTATCGCTTTGAAACGGACTTTGCGTCAAATCACAGCGAGGGAGGCCGGCGCCGCGCTAAGCCGGCTGCATGGTAACGGCTGCCGCGACGTTGTTGTCGCTGCGGTCCAGGTGCGTGTGACTCAGGGCCAAGAACCTCCTCACCTGCTGAGCGTGTTCGGGGGCAAGCCCCTGGTGGTGCACCTGGGCGGGACGTCCCGCAAGGGGGGCAGCACCGAGCCGAGCGCCACCCGCCTCTTCCACATCCGACAGAGCTCCACCAAGGCCGTCCGGGCCGTGGAGGTGGGTGCGGACCGCACGTCGTTCTCGCCCCCCCCCCGCTCTCTCTTTCTGACTCGTTTCTCTTCGGCTTTGGCGTCACAGGTGGCGGCGGACGCGTCCTCTCTCAACTCCAACGACGCCTTTGTGCTGAAGTGGCCCAAGGGGACTTTTGTGTGGAAGGGTCGCGGGGCCACGCCGGAGGAGCTGGCCGCCGCCAAACACGTGATCGGCATCCTGGGCGGCGGCGCCCCCGTCGAGGTGGCCGAGACCAAGGAGCCCGGTCAGCAACGCGCGAGCGAGTCTCGAGATTGCCTCATCCCCACACGAGCACGCGCGCGCGCACAAGTCAAACTAAACGGCCTCACCGGCGAAACCTTCTCCTGCGCGCTAGCCCGTTTTCTTGGGCTCACACGCACTCGGGAATCTGTTGGTCACCCGTATTTCCTCGACGCTCTCTCACGCGCACAGCACAACGGCTTGACACGGCGACTGAGAAACTTTTCTCACGCCGCCGCGAGGCCTTCTCGCTCCTAAATTCAACGGCGTAACACACGAGCACAACTTCTGCCGCGGACGTGATTGAGGATTACTTCTGAAGCGTTCACAAGCTCGGCCGAGGGCTCTCCGAGTATCGCTCTCAAGACGCATTGCAGCCGTGTGCGGTGGTGCCGCTGACCTGTTGTTGTTGTTGTTGCTGGATGCCACCAGAGAACTTCTGGAAGGTGCTGGGCGGCCGCAAGGACTACCAAACCTCGTTGACCCTCCGGACCGCCAAAGTGTGGCAACCCCGACTCTTTGAATGCTCCAACGCCAGCGGACGCATCCACGTGAGGACAAATCTCCTCGTCTTGTCTTTGTGGACTTTGTCATGTGTGTGACCCGATCGGATCAAAGCGACGGAAAGGTCTTGCTGCCACAGGTTGGGGGGCCGGGGGCAATATCTCGCTATGCCGCCAGAAGTGTCACGTCCTAACGTGATCAATGTTATGTTTTAACGTGTGCTAAGTTGCGTGTTAAAGCATCCCGAGATGAAAACTCGACCCCGTCACCATGTGAACTTTTCTCTTTTCTGCTGCGGCAGCAACACTCCGCCGCTACGAAAGAAAGCTAAGATGGGCGGAAGGCGGCCGTGTCGCCTTTCGATTGGGCCTCCGCGTGGCTTTGCCCTTGGCCCCCCGCCGGGCCTTCCTTATCGACGGCGCTCTCGGCACGCGGGAGACGGTGGGCTCGCGTCGTGTCGCGCGGATTCAGGTGGGGGGGCGACTTTGGAGCCTCTTGCTGCCACAGGGGATCTCATCCACCCAAAACGGGCTTCGGCAACTTCGCTCAGTCCACGTGGCGACGCGCCGCGACTTTGCGGTCTCGGCCGGTTTGCTCCGTTTGACTTTGATCCCAGAGCAGACGACCTTGAAACAAGCGGGCCTCGGGCTCTCTTCTCGTCTTGGTCTCGAATCGGCCACTTGGGTGTCACACGGGTGTCTCGCGTGCAGGTGGAGGAGGTCCCCGGAGAATTGGACCAGCTGGACCTGGAGACCGACGAGGTCATGATTCTGGACACGCACTGCCAGGTAAATTGTCTGCGCTTTCCGATTTGACTTTTGTCTTCGGCGAGCAAACATCTGACACGAGGAAAGACGGTTTGGGATGTTTCGTTTGATCTTCCTTGTTCGGTTCAGCTCTTCGTATGGATCGGCAAGGACGCCAACGAGACGGAGAAAAAAGGAGCGGCGCGCATCGGTGAGCCCAACGGGACCCTTTTTCGACGCCGAACGTCAACGGCGCTCGCAAACTTTGCGTGTGTGTTTGTCGACCCGACAGCCGAGGAGTATTTGAATTCGGACCCGAGCGGCCGCCACGGGACTCCCATCAGCACCGTCAAACAGGGCGAGGAGCCGCCCTCCTTCACCGGCTGGTTCCTGGCCTGGGACCCCACCCTGTGGGACAAAGACCCCCTGGCCATCTTCGGCGCACGTTGAGACACAAATTGCTTTGCCTTGTCGCGTACTCTCGCGTCGCCTGCCTTTTTGTCACTTCTAATCCAGTGGGCGGAGTCATCTCGGTCGCTAATCATCTCTCAGCTCGCTGCCAAAGAAAAAAAAATGTTGACGGAAAGGGAAAGTCGAGTCACACTCTGGCCAATTTCATCGCTGCCTTGGGATTAACGCTTTCAAATTTGCCAGATTTGATTTATTTGTTTGGTCTTTACACAGCGAGAGATACGACATCGGACAAAGATAGCCACGCCAAAATGTTTTTATATGTATGGTGAAATCTACACACAAAACTGCAAACACTGAAATGTTCTGCCTGTCATTCAAATCTTGGGTGTATGCAAAAAAAGGAAATGATTTGAAGGGCGCAACTATTTTGAATTGACGGCCCTTTTGATGGCTCATCAAATTTTTAATTTGGCCACGTCGTCGGCCTCAAAACAAATCGGCGCTGCTCGGTGCCGAGCCAAAAGATGAGTGAGTGGCCCTCGACCGGGGGTGTCCGCAGTGGGTCCTCGCGGGCCGCCGTCCCGCCCGTTTCGCGGCTCTGCCGGGAGCAACGCGCCTGATTCAAATCATCGGGATGCTTGTCATGCTGCTTCCCGGCCGGCTCATCGGAATCGGCTGCGTTGCGGCCGGCGGAGCCGGGAAACGGGCGGGACGGCGGCCCTCCGGGCCCGGCGCTGGACTCTCGTCTCTCTTTTTGGCAGCGGCTCATTTGAAGACTTCTTGCCCTTCCGGTCACACCGCTGTTTTGTGTGGAATCTTCCTTCCTTCCTTCCTCCCTTTGCTTTCTGCCTGCTTGCAAGCCGATTTGGATGGGAAACATTCTGAGGCTTTTCAATAAACATCGGAACAAGTGTCGCTGTGAGCGTGTGTTTGTCACGTGGCTCCTTAGCCTCCCTGTGCGTCAGTGCTGACTGGCACTTTGTTGGGATTAAGCGGCGGGAATTAAGCAAGGTGGCCGCTCGGAGCCCCCCCACGCCCCCCACCCCCACCTCACTCGCTCACTGGCTCTTTGGCTGGCCGGCTTTGGCTCGGACCTCCCGGCAGACGCGGACCTGCTTGCTGGCTCGGCGGCGAGATGACTCAAAAGGTGGTCCTGATCACAGGATGTTCCTCTGGCATCGGCCTGGCGCTCGCCACGCGCATCGCCAAGGACGAGAAGAAGAGGTTCATGGGTAAAGACACACACGCACCCAAAAATTAATTTGAACGCGCCGCCATGCAATGCACGCTTGCGACGGGATTCGTGATTTTCTCGAGCTGAGTGAACGTCGTGCCCCCGAGGCTCGGTAAAAAGCAGCGAAGAACCGACGCTTGGCGATCACGCACTCCATTCGGTGAAGCGACACGGGCAAACGCCACGAGAAAGCTTCGCCAATTGTCAAAAATCTCTTTGAGTAAGCCAAGCGGCAGACAGCGAACCCTCGTTTTTCGCTGCGGGTTTCGTTCCAAAGAGAACCCGCGAGAGGCGAAATCCGGGACGGAGACGGTGTAACTGCCCCGAAAGGTTTTCTTACGGGTTTCCAAAGACTTGACGCGTCGACCGATGGTCAACGGCCTTGATTATCCGCACGTCCATCGCCGACGAACTCGCACTCTGGCCAAAATACCCAACGTGCCCGCGGACAACGTGGCGACGTGCCTCTCGACAACACAAAACAGGCATTCGTGGTGGCCACGTGGCGCCTTTTCGACTCGGATTTCGCAGTCATCGCAAGAAACGGGAGGTCTTGCCGTATGTGCGCCTCACCCGTTTCGCCGCTTCCCTCCAACGGACGCAACTCCTAATCCAGCTCCCGCCACTCAGCGTAACCCTCAGATTTGACAGCGGAGGGGGGGGGGGGCACCAACCTAAATACGGGTGCAGTCTTTGTCGTGTCCCCATCACGTGGAATGGGACGGGATTTTAATCGTGCCGTGAACTTAAGTTACGGTCGGCTTCATTTCGGACGCCGAGGTCCACCGGCTGACGTGGATCCGGCAATGATGACGCCACAGCGGCGCGGTGTTCCAAAAGCATGTGTGTGTGTGTGTGTGTGTGTGCGTGCGTCAGGGTACGCCACCATGAGGAACGTGAGCAAAGGCGAGGCGCTGGTGGAGGCGGCCGGCCGCAGCCTGGGCCGCACGCTGGAGATCAAGCAGCTGGACGTGTGCGACGAGACGTCCATCAGGGCTTGCGTGGACAGCCTGCCCCAACGCAGGGTGGACGTCCTCAGTGAGTGGCACCCGCCCGCGTGCGCGCCGAGACGCGCGGAAATGTTGAATCCGACAGACCGACCGCACTTTTGCTGAAGAGTGGAAAACAAACAAAGCAAAAAACAAGATGTCACACTTTGCACTTGAATTATACTTCAAAATCTCCCATTTTTCAAATTTGATATGGTAAAGTCTTTTGTGACGAGATGCCGGAACGAATATGAGGAAAAGCATTCCAATAAGTGATTGCGCCTTATTGGGATGAAAAACGTGCGAAATGCCCCTCCGCAAGAAAAACGAAAAGAAATGTGGCGGCAGCAGATTTCGGGCCCATGGTAATCCCTCCCCAGGTGCTTTTCGGAACGGGGCGGATGGAAACAGCCGCCGGGGCTCTTTCGGTCGCTGAGCCGGTTGACAGCGAGCCGATCGGCTGCCGACTCGCACGCCGCTAAACGGGCCGGTGGAGGACGGAGGACGGCCACCCCGAGCGGACAAAAATAATGCCGGCGCTCCTCGGGCCTCGACCGTACCGATGGCGGCAAATGGCGTCCGTGTAAACCTCGCAAAGGTTTCTCCAAAGCGCGGGCGAAAAACAAAGAACCCCCCCAACTCGGCTTCCGTGAAGCGTCAACCCCGCGGCAGACGACGCCTGCTCGTATTTGCTGGCGTTGAATTTCAATGTTTGCCTGGCGTTTGACTTGCGAGCCGTCCGTCACTTCCCCTGTGAGTCAGTAACGCCGGCATGGGCCTGATCGGCCCCATCGAGTGCCAGTCGCTGGACGAGATGAAGACGGTGATGGACACCAACTTCTTTGGCCTGGTGAGGCTGCTCAAGGAGATCCTTCCCGACATGAAGCGGCGCAAGAAAGGTCACGTGGTGGTCATCAGCAGCGTCATGGGCATCCAAGGTGCAACTTCCCGCCCGCCGGAAGAGCCTCTGAGCAAATAAGCGCTCACCCCCCCCCCCCATCTCCCTCCCGCAGGGATCCTCTTCAACGACGTCTACGCCGCGTCCAAGTTTGCCGTGGAGGGATTCTGCGAGAGTTTGGCGGTGCAAGCGCTCAGGTTCAATCTCAAGTAAGTCGCACGCAGCCCTTCTTGGCGCTTCTCAGAAGGCCGCTCGCCATCAACCGGTCCATCAGAGACCGGACCTGAGGCCTGAATAAGAGTCCCTCGGCGGTGCTTTCCAACTCTGACGTAGCAATTGGGGGTGGCCCGCTGCTTTTGGCCCCACCCACCTCCGGGACATCTTGGGCTCAAATGTCATTTTCTCCCCTTTTGACTGAGCGCCATCCGTTTTGCTCCAGCATCAGCCTGATCGAGCCCGGCCCGGTCATCACCGACTTTGAGCGGAAGGTGTACGATGAGGGGCTGAAAACGGACCTGAGCAACGCCGACGCGGTGACGGCGGACATGTTCACCAACATCTACCTGAAGAACTACAAGCAGATTTTCGAGACGCTGGGACAGACGGCGGATGACGTGGCTGAGGTACGTGCCCGCCCGAGTGACCCCTCTCGGGACCTCTCTCGGGGACCGCCTTGCTGGGGCTCCGGAGCCACTCAAGGTCTCCTGGAGCAGAGGTTATTCCTGGAGGACCGCCGAAACTGAAGGCTGTTTCAGAGCACCTTGCCAGAACCGCCCTTCCGGCGCCTCCGATAGGGTCCTTCCTTGAGCAATTCGTCCGGTGGGTGTGTG